AGGTTGAGCCAGCTGAAGCTAAACCTGGTGAAGACAGAGGTCCTGGGCCTGAGTCGCGCTGGTCTGGGGTTGGGAATCCCTCTCCCAACCTTTGATGGGGCGCTGTTGGTGCCAGCGCCAGGGGTTAGGAGTTTGGGAGTGCTCCTGGACTCCTCTCTAACTATGGAGGCCCAGGTGGCAGCCATTGCCAGGTCAGCTTTTTACCCTCTTAGGCTGGCTCGGCAGTTGGTTCCTTTCCTCGACCGCAATGACCTGGCCACAGTGATCCATGCGACAGTCACCTCGAGGCTAGACTACTGTAACACTCTCTACGTGGGGCTGCCTTTGTGGCAAATCCGGAAGCTGCAGCTGGTGCAGAATGCGGTGGCCCGGCTGTTGATGGGCCTCCCCAAGTGGGAGCACAGAATGCTGCAGCCAGGCTTCTGATGTGTCTTGCTAGGCGGGAGCACATCCATCCTGTGCTGAAAGCGCTGCACTGGCTGCCAATAGCGTACCGGATTCGCTTCAAAGTGCTGGTTCTTACCTTTAAAGCCCTATACAGCCCGGGTCCGACATACCTGAGGGTTCGCCTTTCCCCATATATACCCCAAAGGGCACTACGGTCAGGGATGCAACATCTGCTGGTGACCCCAGGCCTGAAGGAAGCCAGGCTTGCGGTTACTAGGGCCAAGGCCTTCTCGGTGGCAGCTCCTACCTGGTGGAATGAGCTCCTGGAGGAGATCAGGGCCTTGCAGAACCTAGCACAGTTCCTCAGGGCCTGCAAGACGGAGCTCTTCCGCCAGGCTTTTGAGTAGGAGCTAGGAGCCGTCACAACCACCACCAACAACGAGTTTTGAAACAGTGGGGTATGGGAGTGGCCCTGTGATGATCGAACTGCAGCACTATGGCGTGTGGATACCACTGAGTTGAGATCTGACTGAATATCCTCTGGATACCATGTTTAAATGGAAGACTATCACCTGCGACCATCTTGAAGCACTTTATTTTGTAAATATTGTAATTTGTGTGTGTTTTATCTTGTTTTTATGTATTTGGCATGCGTGCCCAGACGTTAGCTGCCCTGAGCCCGCCCATGGGGAGGGCGGCCTAGAAATCGAATGATAAATAAATAAATAAATAAATAAACAGAAGCTCGTGCTGCTGCTGCAGTGTGACTCTAGAGAGGAGGAGTTTAAACTTTAAACACCTTCTCTTTTCACTTCCTCCGCAAGCCCGCTGGGGGCAGGGCTTGCTGCCACTGCCATTTGTGCCTGCTCCTGGGCTACTGGAGTGCTGCTCCGGCTCGTTCCGGTCCCCAAATGACCCATGTGTGTGTGTGTGTATCTTTTATATTTATTTAATTTAATGTAAACCCTTTAATTTAGAGCTGCGGTGGCTCAAGTGGTTAAGACGCTGAACTGCAGGCTGTGGAAGGTCGGTAGTTCAGCAGTTCAAGACCCAGGTGCCGCACGATGGAGTGAGCTCCCGTCTCTAGTTCCAGCTCCTGCCAACCTAGCAGTTCGAAAGCAAGAAATTGCAAGTAGATAAATAGGTACCACTTTGGTGGGAAGGTACCAGCGTTCCATGTGCCTTGGTGTTTAGTCATGCCGGCCACATGACCATGGAAACATCTTCAGACAGTGCTGGCTCTTCGGCTTTGAAACAGAGATGAGCACCGCAGCCCTAGAGTCGGATTCGACTGGCTTTCGAGCAAGGGAACCTTTACCTTTACCTTTAATTTAAACCCCACTTAATTTGCTCTCCTCTGCTCCATTTTATCCTCACAACCACCCCGCAAGGTGGGTCAGGCTGAGAGTATGTGTCTGGCCCAAAGTCACCCAGCAAGCTGCCATGGCAGTGTGGGGATTCAAACCTGGTTCTCCCAGATCCTAGTCCAGTGCACTAAGCACTACGCCACGCTGGTCCTTGGACACCTCTAACCATCCCCATTTCAAAAGATCCTGAAAAGTACCAAGTGCTTTGAAGTCATTATCTCAGCTCTCATTCTTATAAACCTGCAAGTGCTACTGTCACTTTACAGAGGAAGATCTAAAGGACAACTCAGCATGGCGACGGCTGAAATTGTGTTTTGACAGAGCTCTTCCATATCCAAGATTCACTCTAACAGACGGGGCTGCTTCTTGTTTCATAGCTTGCTCCTCAGAGACATACACAAAAACTGCTTTAGCTTCTCGAGCTTGACTAGGGCGCATATTAAAAAGAGCATCTCATTAATCCCTGGCACACATAACAAGAAATTAAAGTAAGCACCGTCTGCTAAGTAGCGGACCAAAGAAAGGGCTGCGCAAACAAACAACATTTCAGGTCGGAGGACAGCAACCTTTTACAATTAAACAGCCAAACCAATACTTAAGTTCTCAGCAAGAAATTAACAAAGGCCAGTATAAGAAAGACCCTTTGCAGTACTGAAAGCCTTCCATTGAAGATTACTGACAATTGGCATGTTGATTAGTAATCCATAAAGTGCCTGCAGTTCAAACAATACTCTTTGCAGGTCCTTTACTGGGAAGCGGAGCCCAAAGCCTCACAATAAATAATTAATAGGAGCGTGATTGTTTAGTACACTGGCATAAATCTGTGCATGACTCATGCTTGGAATACTGGCAACTGTTCATCTCTATCATTTCCCTTTATGTAAACCATCTTGAAGACGCCCTTTCGTCCCACAACAATCTTTGCCTGTCCTTCACCATGCAAACTGGTTACTCTAGCATCCCACCTACCCCTCCAGTATACCGTAACCTAATGATTTTTTTCTAGTAAAGAGCCATATTTGGTTCCATGCTAAGCCGCATTTGACTCTGGAGCTATAGGCTGCAGACCCATTTTAGGTTTTAAGGGCCTAATTGCCCATGACGTTTTCTAACAAAGTTAATTTCTGTATCAGAACAGCCTTCACTCACCATAAGGATGAAAACAGAGGGACAGAACTTCAACAGTACCTGATGCTGATCTGCCCTTGCATCTTTCAAACAGATGTATAAACTTCCGAACTGAACTGAGCCTAGTGAAAAACTAGTTCTTCCAGTTTCCGGGAGAAGGTGGCTGTGCAGAGTATTAATTGGCTGGCCCTTGTGATGATTATGAAGAAACCTCTCTCACACACACATCTAGTGATGCAGAATTCTGACTGTCTGACCCTTGTGGCAATCATGATATTCCATCTCCCACACCCCATCTTTGTACTTTATTTATTTTTTGTTTAAGTTGTAACTGCTGAGAACTAAGTGGGGAAGGGGAGGAGATGGATTTATGACATCACATGAAGAAGCCAATGAATGCTTTGCACACGCAGATCTTCCTGATTCAAGTCCACTGTTCTGAAAACCTACATAGCCAGCTTTCCTCAGACCAGAAGGTATATCAAAACTATCGCTACCATAAGCACAGTGGTATATTTGTATATATTCAAAATCTGCCCTACTAACTCTCCATATAGAAGAAGACGAAGACATCGGATTTATACCCTGCCCTGGGGAAGGAGAGGAGATGGATTTATGACATCACATGAAGAAGCCAATGAATGCTTTGCACACGCAGATCTTCCTGATTCAAGTCCACTGTTCTGAAAACCTACATAGCCAGCTTTCCTCAGACCAGAAGGTATATCAAAACCATCGCTACCCTAAGCACAGTGGTATATTTGTATATATTCAAAATCTGCCCTACTAACTCTCCATATAGAAGAAGAGAAAGACATTGGATTTATACCCTGCCCTTCACTCGGAGTCTCAGAGCAGCTTACAAACTCCTTTCCCTTCCCCACCCCACAACAGACACCCTGTGAGGTAGGTGGGGCTAAATTCATTTGGCATTTTAATAAATTTAACTGGTTTTATACTTACAGTATATATTTCCTGAGCAAAATCTGGCTTCCCACTCTCTGCCTGAGAAACAGTTCCCACTATTTGGTATATTCCTTCCTTTGGTTTAGCAGGTGAAAGTTCAACAGCTGATCTAGCTTCATCTTCTTCTTCCTCTTCCTCTGCTACTTCTTCCAGAGATGCTCCAACAATACAGGAGGACAAGTACTAAACATTGACAAGAAAGCGACCAATCGGATAATGAAAGGGAACCCAGTTCACATTGATATAGTCATTGATAACCAGTTACCTGCTTCAGTATCATCTTTCTCATTTCTCACCTGTGGGGATGAATAACAGCTCAACATACTGAAGCGGCCTGCTAGCCAGGGGGAAGATAGTCTTCCAAGCGCATTTCTCAGCAGAGTTACACCCTTCTGTATCCATTGCTTCATCTGGATAGCTCAGAGTAGCCTGATCTTGTCAGCTCTTGGAAGTTAAGCAGGGTCGCCGCTGGTTAGTATTTGGGTGGGAGATCACCAAGGAAGCCCCGGGTCACAACACAGAGGCAGGCAATGGCAAACCACTTCTGAACATCTCTTGCCTTGAAAACCTTCTAGGGACACCGTACGTTGGCCGAGACTTCACAGCACTTTCCACCACCACATCTATGGACTTTAACGGACTTAGAAGGGTGTAACTCTGCTGAGGATTGCATTGTTCACATCTGTCCAGCCCCTTCTCGATCTTTGCCTTTGATTCCATTTCTTCACCTTTACTCTGACCTTGAGGGCTGCTTGCACACAGGTTATTTAAGTCTGGAGTGGACATAATTCACTCAATTTTTTTGGCAAATGCAGATGATAGTCAGTTTACTTCATTCATTTTTTTTAATCAGATCTGATTTGTGCACATTTTCACTGCAGTGTACGACTGCACTAGTGAAACAAAGTGTAATTAAGTCTTCCCAGAATTACTGTCTTTTTTCCTTCTGCTTTCTGTGGTTTTAAAACAGTTCTATGCTTAGATTGTAGAATCATAGAATCATAGAGTTGGAAAGGACCTCCAGGGTCATCTAGTCCAACCCCCTGCACAATGCAGGAAATTCACAAATAACTCCCCCTCCATACCCACAGTGACCCCTATTTCACACCCAGAAGATGACAAAAAACCTCCAGGATCCCTGGCCAAACTGGCCCAGAGAAAAATTGCTTCCTGACCCCAAAGTGGTAATCAGCATTTCCCTGGGCGTGTAAGAAAGAGCCACAAGAACTAAGCACTGAGGCAACCCTTCCTGCCCCTCCTTCTCATGACCTGCCTAAGTTCACAGAATCAGCATTGCTGTCAGATGGCCATCTAGCTTCTGTTTGAAAACTTCCAAAGAAGGAGAGCCCACCATCTCTTGAGGAAGCTGGAACCACTCTGTCAGAAAGTTCTTCCTAATGTTTAGCTGAAAACTCTTCTGATTTAATTTCAACCCATTGGTTCTGGTCCAACCTTCTGGGGCAACAGAAAACAACTCTGTATCCTCTATATGAAAGTCCTTCAAGTATTTGAAGATGGTTATCATATTGTCTCTCAGTCGTCTCCTCTCCAGGCTAAACATACCCAGCTCCTTCAACCTTTCCTCATAAGACTTGGTCTCCAGACCCCTCACCATCTTCGTTGCCCTCCTCTGGACATGTTCCAGCTCATAAATTGTGGTGCCCAAAACTGAACACAATACTCCAGGTGAGGTCTAACCAGAGCAGAGTAAAGTGGTACCATCGCTTTGAGTGATCTGGACACTACTGTTGATTTCCTCTTCCTCTGCTACTTCTTCCAGAGATGCTCCAACAATACAGGAGGACAAGTACTAAACATTGACAAGAAAGCGACCAATCGGATAATGAAAGGGAACCCAGTTCACATTGATATAGTCATTGATAACCAGTTACCTGCTTCAGTATCATCTTTCTCATTTCTCACCTGTGGGGATGAATAACAGCTCAACATACTGAAGCGGCCGGCTAGCCAGGGGGAAGATAGTCTTCCAGTGCATTTCTAAGCTGAGTTACACCCTTCTATATCCATTGCTTCACCTGGGTAGCTCAGAGTAGCCTGATCAAAACAGCTCTTGGAAGATAAGCAGGGTCGCCCCAGGTTAGTATTTGGGTGGGAAATCACCATGGAAGCCCAGGGTCACAACACAGAGGCAGGCAATGGCAAACCACTTCTGAACACCTCTTGCCTTGAAAACCTTCTAGAGACACCGTACGTTGGCCGAGACTTCACAGCACTTTCCACCACCACATCTATGGACTTTAACGGACTTAGAAGGGTGTAACTCTGCTGAGGATTGCATTGTTCACATCTGTCCAGCCCCTTCTCGATCTTTGCCTTTGATTCCATTTCTTCACCTTTACTCTGACCTTGAGGGCTGCTTGCACACAGGTTATTTAAGTCTGGAGTGGACATAATTCACTCAATTTTTTTGGCAAATGCAGATGATAGTCAGTTTACTTCATTCATTTTTTTTAATCAGATCTGATTTGTGCACATTTTCACTGCAGTGTACGACTGCACTAGTGAAACAAAGTGTAATTAAGTCTTCCCAGAATTACTGTCTTTTTTCCTTCTGCTTTCTGTGGTTTTAAAACAGTTCTATGCTTAGATTGTAGAATCATAGAATCATAGAGTTGGAAAGGACCTCCAGGGTCATCTAGTCCAACCCCCTGCACAATGCAGGAAATTCACAAATAACTCCCCCTCCATACCCGCAGTGACCCCTATTTCACACCCAGAAGATGACAAAAAACCTCCAGGATCCCTGGCCAAACTGGCCCAGAGAAAAATTGCTTCCTGACCCCAAAGTGGTAATCAGCATTTCCCTGGGCGTGTAAGAAAGAGCCACAAGAACTAAGCACTGAGGCAACCCTTCCTGCCCCTCCTTCTCATGACCTGCCTAAGTTCACAGAATCAGCATTGCTGTCAGATGGCCATCTAGCTTCTGTTTGAAAACTTCCAAAGAAGGATATTCCACCACCTCCTGAGGAAGCCTGTTCCACTGACTGTTCTAACTGTTAGGAAGTTCTTCCTAATGTTTAGCCAAAAACTCTTCTGATTTAATTTCAACCCGTTGGTTCTGGTCCTACCTTCTGGGGCAACATCCTCTATATGACAGCCATCCTCTATATGACAGCCCTCATACTTACTTTGCAACTTTCTTCCTTCATTTTGTCTCTCTCCAACCCAAAGCTTAAATTATAGCTGTGCCTCTTTGCAGAAAAAGCAATCACTTGTTCATTTTTTAAATTGTATTTTTATTATAATTGTGTAATTACAAAACTACGTTAATGAAAATATTTCCAAAAAACGGGAGATCACTTTGGCTGCAAAGAGAATAGCTCTACCCCCCCCTCCGTAAAGTAACTAATTTAAGGAGTGTCATGGAATTAATTGTGTATGGAGGAACAAACACTGATGGGAAATAAAAGAAGAGGTATATATATATTTAAAGGAACAAATTGCAGGGAAAAGTGGGATGTTTGACCAGGACGTACTTCCAAATAAAATTGTTAGTAGGATAGCACCTAGTGGGATGGGCATTACTGGATTTCTATAGGAATACAGCACTATAGTACAGTGCATGGAACCACCATGCAGCTGATGATGGTAAAGGAATCCATCAAGAGAACATAGGTATAGTGGAAACTGGGAAGCAATCTAGAATTCCAGTGAAGAAGAGTTGGAGTTATACCCCACCCTTCACTCAAGAGTCTCAGAGCAGCTTATAGTCTCCTTCCCTTCCTCTCCTCACAACAGACTGTGAGGCAGGTAGGACTGAGAGAGCTCGGAGAGAACAGTTCTGAGAGGATTGTGACTGACCCAAGGTCACCCAGCTGGCTTCATGTGGTTTCTCCAGATTAGAGTCCCCCACTCATAACCACTACACCAAACTGGTGGAGACTGCATGTTTAAACCACCCCTTAGGAAAATATTTCATCTTTTCTCCAAGGAACACAGAGCAGCATTCACAGTCCTTCTCTCTTCCGTTTCACGTCCAGAGCAACCCTGTGAGGTAGCATATGTGCACACAAGCTGAGAGCCAGTATGGTGGAGCACTTGTGCATCAGACTAGGATGGGAGACCCAGGTCTGACTCCTCGCTCGGTCATGGAAACGCCCCGAGTGACCTTGGACTAGTCAACCTCTTTCAGCCTAACCTACCTCTCATGGTTGTTTTCAGGACAGAGAAAGGAAGAATATAGTAAGCCATTCTGGGTCCCCACTGGGGAGAAAAGTGAGGTATAAAATAAAGTACGCAAATATTTAATTCATTGCATAGTGTTTAACCCACCCCTTTCTCCAATGAGCTTGGGGAGAGAAAATACAGTTCTCCCTTCCTCCACCTTATCTCCACAACACCAACCCTGTGAGGTAGGTGAGGCAGAAAGAGAACAATTATACCAAAGTCACCCAGTGAGTTGGTTGGGAATTTGAACTCAGGTCTCCGTCCCTCAGCTCTAACCACGATCCAGCCCACGGTGGTTCTCCCATCCCTCCCCATCCCTCCCTCTCACTTTCCCGATGTTGCGGCCGCTGTAAGAGTCCAAATGGTTCACAAAGATCCTCTGGCACCGGATGATCTCTTCAGCCTCAACGATCGCCTCTTCTTCCTCCGACATGGCTGCAGTTTACAGGGAAGCCGAGCCGTTACTAAGCAACCAAAGCACGCTCCGGAGCCCGGGGAGGGAGGGAAGGAAGGACGGGCTGCCAAAGAAATGAAAGGCAGGCGAGCCAAGCCTCGGGGCGGGGCGCGTATGCGGAGCCAGCGCGGCTAACGCTCAGCCCAGGGAATGGAGGAACGTACGCGCTAGGCTTCGGGGGCGTGGCTTTCGTAGGCGTAGGCGGGGTCAATGCAAATAACTATTAGGAGGAGAAGACCAGATTTAGAGTCCAGTGAGACCTTTAAGACCAACAAAGATTTATTCCAGGTATGAGCGTTCGTGTGCAAGGCACACTTTTCCAAATACACTGGAATGGTGTGTAAGGTTCAAACGTATAGACAGGGAAATGAACATGTAACATGAATGTTTAAGATATGCAAAGTCCAAAATAACAAGCTAAAGGTTGTAAGGTCAACGGCTATAAAAGCAATAAATATGTCCGATTAGCAGATAAATATCCAAAGGTGTCTTCAGACCAACAAGTTTAATATAAGCTTTCATGTGCATGTGCGATTCTTCAGATTCAGGTTCTGGGTCGGGAAGGGAAAGGGAAGGATGCCCAATCAGTCTCATTAGCCAGAAGTAGATCTCGCAGAGAGAAAGGAAGAAGCTGCCACCGTGAAGTGAGGACACCAACTCATCAGCAGGCCGGTGAATAACGTTTGGAAACGCCGGCCGCATAGATGAGGCAAGGAAAGCGGCAGGAGTTGCCAAACTGTGGGGCTGATGGGAAAAGCAAATATTCTGGGCCCCCCCATCTCGTCCTCCAAGAGTAGGCCAGAGGCTCAAAGTCGCAGCACTCTTCCATCACCTGCTCCTCTGCAAAGCCGTAGATAGCTCCTGCTTCCCCAGGCTCTTTTCCACCTAGGGGTGCCAGGTCCCCCCCCCCGGCCACCAGCAAGGGATGGGGGGTAGGGTCCCTGGGAAACTCCTGGAGATTTGGGGATGGAGCCTGGGGAAGACAGGGACCTCAGTGGGGTATAATGCCATAGAGTCCACCCTCTAAAGCAGTGGTGTCAAACATGCGGGGGGAGGGGGCAGTTGGCACAGTGAGGTGTGTGTGGTCGAAGCTGTCAAGAAATGAAAGGAAATGGCTAGGGAGTGGGGGTGGTATCCCTTGGGAAAAACCTAGTCTTGCAGAGGATTAACTACATGTACTGACTGGGGCTTTTGTGGATTCCCCAGTAAATCAATTGCTTTCACTCCTAGGAATCAATTGCTTCTGTTTGTATTTTGAGTAAAAAAATAATATCATTAAGTGGGTTTGCCTGTGCCATTTATAAAGTTTATATCTCCGGTACCTGGCACTTCATTTTATGGCAGACCTGGCCTAGCCCAACAAAGTAACTTTTATGTCAGATCTGGCCTTCATAACAAACGAGTTTGACACCTCTACTCTCAAGCATCTGTTTTCTCCAGGGGAACTGATCTCTGCAGTCTGGAGATGAGCTGTAATTCTGGGGGATCCCCAGGCCTCACCTGGAGACTGGCATCCCTATTGCATCAAAGGCCCAGTGCCTTGGCACTCTTGGCCAGGTGCATCCACAGCGGGAACCCCTGGTGTTGTTGTTTTTTTTTAAAGTACCCATAGGTACACTTTTATTAATTTTTTTTATCTACAACAAACAAATCTACACACTACAAACAGACACTCTACTACACATAACATATATACCAAGAGTGCAGTTACATTATATGCTTATATGCAATTACTTAATTAATAAAAACTCTATATCAAATACTTTCCATTCTTCTATCTTGTGTTCTCAAGTCCATTGCGCTGTCCTTGCCTAGTCTTCTATTACATTTGCATTATAGCAATCATAAAACTTTTTCCATGTTTTTTGAAATGTCCACTCTTTACTTAATCTAATTTCTAGAGTCAGTTTATCATTTTCTGCTGTTTCAAAAAGTTTATTCACAAACTCCTGTTTCGTTGGTATCACCATGGTTTTCCAATATTTGGCATATAAGATTCTTGCAGCTGTCGTCATATAATCCTTTGGAAATATATTCAACAGCAAGACCTCTGGAGTAAATGGAATCTTTGCTCTTAGTATCTTCTCCATCAAACTATGGACCCATTTCCAAAACTTTTTAGTAACATCACATAGCCACCACATATGGTAAAATGTACCCCTTTTACTCTTACATTTCCAACATTTATCAGAACAGTTAACCTTTTGCTTAGCCAGTCTATCAGGCCTAACATACCATCTATAAAACATCTTGTACATATTTTCTTTATATGTTATAGCATTAGTCATTTTAATATTTTTCTCCCAAATCTGGCCCCAGTCTTCAAGATTTATAGTATGCCCTAAATTCTGAGCCCATGCAATCATATTATTCTTCACAATTTCCTCTACCATTGTATCATCCAACAAAATTTTATATATTTTCTTTATCATTTTACTATCTGCTGTTAACATAACATTTTCCAGTTCAGTTATCTTACCATTAAATCCCACTTTTTTGTCCTTCAAATATATTGATTCCAGCTGTACTTTTTGCCACCAGGACAGATGTTCTGGTAGCTTAAGATTGTCCTTACTGTCCAAAATGTCCTGATACCTCAACTTTTCTTCTCCTGTATAAACATTCGGCAGCGTAAAGGCCTCTAATGGTGTTATTAGTCTCGATCTTTTAGTATAATTTTTTTTATGAATTCCGTCCCAAACTTTAAGTAAAGAGGCTCTCAACCAATGTTGTTTAAAATACTTTTGGGAATTTGCTTTCTCATACCATAAAAATGCATTCCATCCAAGTAATAAATCATGTCCTTCAATTTGTAACAATCTTGTATCTTCAAGAGTAACCCACTCTCTAATCCAAACTAGTGCCGCAGCTCTGTAATATAGAAGCCAGTTTGGGACTCCAAATCCGCCTCGCCCTTTCACATCCTGCAACATTTTTAACCTTATTCTCGCCTTCTGAACCCCTGGTGTTTTGATTAACTTACCCCCCCTTCCTTTTCACTCTGTCTCCTCAGTTTGCAACTTAGGCCCTTCCCTCTTTCTCCCTCTTTCCTCCCCACACCATCCTACAAAAGCTGGTCAAGAAGCCAGCTAGGGCTGCCCAGAAGAGCATGGAGAGGCCAACCCTGTCTGGTTCTAGGGGATGGGGGTCTGCGCTTTGGCAGCCAATGAGCCTTCCAGCTACTGAAGGCCTACTGCAGATGGAAGCAATGACGAGGAGGGTTGCCCCTGCCTCGGCTCCTCTTGTTTGGGCTCGCTTGCAGGCCAAGGACAAGAGGGAGCCCCTGGAAAGCAAGAACAGCCGCACAGAGCCAGGAGAGAGATGAGTGTCGTGCGGGGCTGGCTACTGCCGCCTCTTCAGGCGTTGGGCACTGGGATTTATTTTATTTTTGTTTATTTTATTGGGCTTGTATCCTGCCCTCCCTGCAAGCAGGCTTGGGGGGGTGTTTCAATCAGTGCTCATACAATATACTAATAACAATGAAAATCATTTAAAAACAATACATTAAAATAATACAATAATTATAAAATTATAAAATACTGGGCGGATCTAATCAATAACTCAGTAGCAAAGATGGAGATTGTAGGGTAGATCCCAGGTGGCTGTTCAAAATCCAGGACACTGATGGGAGGCTAATGAAAGGAGGACAGGCTGGCTGCCTCAACTAAAAGTCCTCTCTTGTGACTGCCTTGTGGAATGGTCAGCCTGAGGTGGTCAGAAGGGCTCTCCCGTGCTCCTATCATTCCACATCTCTCCTTATTATAAAAGGGATTTGGGGTGGTGAGAGGAAATGCGCTCCCTCAGCCATTGGCCCATCGGCTGCCACTCGGGGCAACTGGCGTGCCATTGGCTGGGGCGGTGGGGGGGAGGGACGAGGCTAGCTGCTACGTGCACCGCTCATTCGGCCGGCCGGTGGGGAGAGGGGAGAGGCCCGCTATCTTGGCATGCCGGGCCCTCAAGTGGGTGGGAGGGCGGGGAAGGAGCCAGCCTGCCTGGCTTGGCCCGCCGCCAGCGGCATGCAGTGCTGTGAACGGGTGAGGCCTGCCATCTTTGCCAGCCGCTGCCTGTGGAGGGACGAGGCCGGCTGGCTTGCCCCACCGCCTCCAGCGTGCGGTAGGGGGGAGCCGCAAGCCTGGCCACCATGCTCTCCTTTGCCAGTGCGTGTGGGGGTCCCTCCGGCGGCCTCTCTCTAGGTCCCATTGCCTCTCTTCCCGCAATGGACCTTCCGCCTAGTACTACATAAAACGGGAGTTGTTCATGAGAGTTTTGGAGTAAAAGTAATGGGGCTATACTATAAAGTATAACAGAATCATTCAGAGTACTGTAACAGAATAATTCAGGATGGCCCTTTATGAAGGAAATTGGGCTGTGTATTATATCACTGCGTATAAGATGTACTATCAGTTTGCTGTACCTATTACTGTGTTGCTTCATTGTTCTCTATTGATTTAATACCATTTTCCTCGTTGCATCCACACTCTGTATAATACCTACCGTATTATGCTTTTTCGGATTTCAATAATCCGAGTGCATTGCTCATGAGATGTCTCCTCATATGGACTTGATTAGCATACACTGCATACATACACTTATTAAATGTCTCTTTCTATGGACTATATAAATACAGTCAGTGAATACAATAAAAATACATCTTGTTGATGCAGTTAGCAAGTACAGTATAGGATGTACAATGAGTCAGTACTTAAGTGTTTTTTCAGACTGTTCCCAGGGGGTCATTATCAACGTGAGGTCTGCTGATTCACAACATTGGTGTTAATTTCCAGTGCTTCTTCATAAATACATTCAGATGCTAAATGAGATTTTCTGAATTTAGGGGACCCATATTATCAGTATACAGATGACATGCATTTCTCCTTTTTATACAGTCAGGTCTCCAGAAGTAGCCATTTCTGTTCTGAGCTGGTGCCTGGATAGTAGAGTCAAGTGGCTGAGAAAAAAACCTAGAACTGTAGAGACAA